ATACGAAGGAACCCAGGAGTAGCTCCAATAGGTTATAAAATGAGAGGAAGTGGATTGATGTGGTTTGGTTATGTGCATAGAAGACCATATACAACACCTGTTAGAAAAAGTCATCTTTGACAAGATGAAAGAGCAAGATGAGCTAGGGGCAGACCAAAAAGAACTTGGGTGGAAGTAATACGGAATGATTTAAGTGTCCATAATTTAACAATGAATATGGCACTGAACAGAATGGAATGGTGAAACAGGGTTCATGTGGCTGGCCCCATCATTAAATTATGGGTGCTTAAATCATTCTGATTACTTCCACATAATCATTCTGATTATGTAAAATAATATGTTGGATCTTTTTGATGATTTTAAGCAACCTAGGAATTTTCCACATGGCAATTTCTTCTGGGGTCCAAACTCCCCAACCTTTTTTTATAAAAAAAAAACAAGCTCCTTTCTTTATGATATATTTTTTACATTAAAATTCTGAAGGTTGGCTGAAAGAGTGGGTGCAGAATTGATTTGGACTGAGAAGTATGGTTTAAAATATCCATATACTTTGTAATGTTTCCATGACATTTTTCCATTTCCATGGGCACCGTCATGAAGTATTATTGGAATTAGCTTATTCCCTAGTGAAAACTACCAGCACTACGTGGAGTACAAGAGATGGTATTATAACACAAGTTGGCGACAATAATGTAGGCATGTCATATGTGGAGTTGCAGTGTTATTACCCGCCTAATAGAAATGATAACCACTTTAAGGCACCTCAATTTTTTCTAGACATTAAGTTAAATCTTAGTTTTTGATTGTATATTAGATTGTATGGTTATCTATTAGAATCATTTGCACTTTCTATGAGTTTAAATTTTGCTCGAACACACTCTATTATGTTGATTTTGACTCTTAAAGTTTACAAGACAACTTCCCAATGTATTATTTTGTCTATTAACCTTAGTTTATTAGCTTTCTTTGATTTTTGGAACAAGATAATAATTTAAAAAAGGAGTGCTTATGCTTTTTTTATCATTTCATAAAATATTATTCAATATTTTTGCATATTTCACAGTATTTTTATCATGTCTATAATTTTTAAAATATTTCCATACGGAATTTCTGATATGTTTCCTATATTTGGATGACTGATATTTCCAATCTGGACCCCTTTCCAAACAGTCCCCTAGCAATCAGCAGTTAATTCATCCTTGGATTCCTCCAAATAGCAGAAATAGGTGGGGTCATCTAGAGCTTTGGCAAGGAGAAAATTGGCAAGGATTGGGGAAATTTGGCATCTAGAGCTCTCCCTAGGGTAACCTCTGATCATTGGCCCACAGTAATTGGCAAGGAGGAAAGGAGTGGAGGCCCTGTCCCGTTTAGATTTGAAAATATGTGGCTACTTCATCCTGGGTTTACCAAGAGAGTTAGGGAGTGGTGGTATGAATGTAACCCAATGGTGGAATGGGAGGGGATGAAATTCTATAAGAAATTACAATTTTTGAAAGCAAAGATTAAGGAGTGGAATCTTTTAGAGTTTGGGAGGCTAGAAGAAAGTAAGAGAGTTTTGATGGACCAAATCGAGAGCTTGGACTCTAGAGAAGAAGGGGGAGAACTTGGAGAGAGAGACATTGAACTTAGAAGGGACTTGAGAAAGCAGTTAGAGGACTGCCTACATAAAGAGGAAATTTGCTGGAGGCAAAAGTCTAGGTGTAAATGTTTGCAAGAGGGAGATAGGAACACCAGGTATTTCCATTCTTTGGCAGATGGAAGGAGGAGGAATTTTATATCCAAATTGGTAGTAGATGGAGTGGAGCTAACACAACAAGAGGAGATTGCCGGGGCATGTGTTGAACATTTCAAATCCATTCTAAGAAGGCCTATAAGTGGTGGGGTGTGGGTAGAAGGGTTGGATTGGCCAGATGTAGGGATGGACAATAGGAGAAGGCTGGAAAGAAGATTTGAGCTGGAAGAAATCAAGGAGGCTGTGTTTTCTATGGATAGAACAAAAGCCCCAGGGCCGGATGGATTCACAATGGCTTTTTATCAGGATTGCTAGGATATTTTGAAAGATGACCTTTTGCTGGTGTTCGAGGAGTTTCATAGGAGAGTCATTGTTAACCCATGAGTGAACTCCACCTTCATAGCTTTGATTCCCAAAAAGAAAGAGGCCTCCCACCCAAAGGATTTCAGACCAATCAGTTTGGTTAATAGCCTACATAAGATTATTGCAAAGGTGTTATCTTTAAGACTGAAGGAGGTATTACCAGACATCATTGCACAAAATCAAGGAGCCTTTGTGAGTGGAAGACAGATTACAGACCAAATCCTCATTGCTAATGAGAGTGTGGAGAGTTTTAAGAAGGATAAAAAGAAGGGGATGGTGTGTAAGTTGGACTTGGAAAAGGCTTATGACTTGGTGGACTGGGAGTTTTTGAGGAAGGTTATGACTAAATTTGGGTCGGGGCTAGATGGTGTAAATGGATCATGGGTCGTATTTGGAACTGCCATTATTCAGTGCTAGTGAATGGGACAGTGGTAGATTTCTTTCCATCCATTAGAGGTATAAGACAAGGAGACCCCCTTTCTCCCTTCTTGTTGATTTTGATTGCTAATGTTTTGGGGAAGTTGATACACAGGGCAGATTCTAGGGGTCTTATTAGAGGATGGAGGGTTGGAAGGGAGGAAACACCCCTCACCCATCAGTTTGCTGATGACACAATCCTATTCTGTGAAGGAGGTAATGTAGGTTTTATCAGGAACATGAAGTTAGTGATACAACTTTTTGAGCAAATGTCAAATTTGAAAGTGAACTTTGGGAAAAGTTGTGTAGTGGGTGTGAATTTGGAAGAGGGAGAGATTAGAGAGTGTGCGGAACTGCTTGGGTGTGAAGTTTTGGAATGGCCTTTAAATTACCTTGGGTTGCCTCTAGATGATAACCCTAAGAGAGAGAGCTTTTGGAATCCGGTGGTGGAAAGATTTGAAAAGAGACTTGCATCCTAGAAAAAGAATTACCTCTCCCTTGGTGGAAGGATTACATTGATTAAGGCCACGCTAGTAAACTTACCCATCTACTTCATGTCAGTATTTAAAGTCCCATTGAAGGTGTCTAGCAGGTTGGAGAGGGTGATGAGAGACTTCCTTTGGGAGCCGGGAGAGGAGAAGAGGGATCATAGAGTTAGATGGGAGGTGGTGATCAGGAGTAAAAGCTGTGGTGGGTTGGGGCTCGAGAACATTAGAAAAAGAAATATGGCTCTTTTGGGGAAGTGGCTGTGGAGATTTCCTTTGGAGCAGGAGAAGTTGTGGGCTAGGACAGTGGCAAGCATACATGGGTTGGAGCAAAATGGATGGGATGCCAGAATCAGAGCTAGGACCACAAGTTCCTCTCCTTGGAAAGCAATTCATGATCTACTACCAGTTTTCTCCCCTTACATCAGGTATGACTTGAATTCAGGTATGACTTTAAAAGATCAGTTTCCTTCTTTGTATGTTCTTTCGGACCTTAAGAATGAGCCAGTTTCTTCTTTCATCACCCCTTCCTCTTCCAATTCTGGGCCTGGGTGGAACATGGGTCTGAGAAGGGCTGTGAGGGACTCAGACCTAGACAGTAAGTATCTCAAGCCTCCTTGATCTCCTTGATAATGTCTTCTAGACCCCTCAAACATGGACTCTAGAATTTGGACCCCTACCCCAACTGGATTTTTTTCTTGTTACCCCCCCTTTCCTGGTTAAGGAGGTTTGGTGCAGATCAATTCCTCCCATGGGTTGGTAGTTTTTGTTGGGAAGCCTATCTAGAAAGAATTAATACTGGTGATTTGCTCCAAAAAAAGAGACCCAATACTTGCTTGCCTCCTCATTGGTGTGTTCTCTGCAAAGCAGAAGGGGAAACTGGTTTCCACTTACTGGTATCTTGCCAATATGCAAATCTGTTTGGGAGTGGGCCTTTTCTTTCTTTGGGTGTAGTTGGAATCCCCCATCAAACATGCAGAGTCTATTCTCCCCTTCTTTTTTCAGGTGGACAGCGAAAAGAGGAAAGATTATGTGGAAAGGACTAAGGGTTGCAGTATGTTGGTCACTATGGGAAGAAAGAAACTCCAGGATCTTCTCAGAAGTCGAGAGGGGGGTTGATGAACTGAGGGCCATAATTCACATTAGGGCCGTACAGTGGCTGAAATCCTTAGCGCTATTTACAAATTACATAGTGGATGATATGCCGAGGAAGTGGGGAGAAATTGCAAACAGTTCACAGAGCAAATCAGCAATGAGTGTGCCTTGGACCCCCCCCCCACCTGCTGGATTCTTAAAACTGAATTTTGATGGCAGTAGTAGAGGGTACCTTGGACCGTCAGGGATTGGAGGTGTTTTCAGGGATGAGAATGGGGTTATTTCTGCATTATACTCGGGTCCAATTGGAGTGGGGGACTCCCTTAGAGCTGAGATTTATGCAGTTATGGAAGGGATACAGAAAGCTAAGGAGATGAATATCAGAAAAATCATAATTGAAGGGGATTCGGAGGTGGTAATAGGGTGGCTGAATAAAGATAACAGTAGCCTATGGAATTACAATAATGAGAGGAAAAGGTTTAAGTGGCTGGTGAGGGAGATGGAAGTGAAGATGAGGTGGGTTCAAAGATCGGCTAATTTCTTGGCTGATGGATTAGCTAAACAAGGGGTAGAAAGGGACTCAATGTTTTGGGCCAATTTGTAAACCACTGTTTCCATTTCCTCTTCTTTTCTTAAGTTCTCTAGCTGTGTGTGGAAGACAAGTGTGTTTATCTTCTTCTTTGTAATCATCTTTATCCTGAACTAATGAAATTGCTAAGCATTATTGATAAAAAAAAAGGTGGGGTCATCTACCAAGATTGCCAACTTGATCCTAATTCTTTTTAATCCTAGCAAGATTTAGCAAAGATGTATATGTCTGTCTGTGTGTTAGTGTTATGTGTGTGTACGAGAGAGAGATTTATGTGAAATAGCATAAGGGAGATAGTAGATATATGTAAGAAACATGCCTCATTAATGCTCCATAACTTCACTGAACAATCATCACCTCCGCTAGCCAACTTTGTGGGGTCTAATTGAGAGAAGTCAACAGACCAAGCCCTTCTTTGGTGCTCTGTATATTGAGAAAACCCTTGACCAGTGCTTGCATCCCATAGCTGCATGCCATCCAAATAAATGAGGATTAGGAGCCATGCAGGACAAGTGAATAAATAGCAAGAAACAATAATAATAATTAGTCTAATACAACACAGTAAGATTAAGAAATTCATGTGATGGTAAAATCCCTAGCTGATGAGTTTCTTTTTATCAATTGTGGCTGATGAGTTTTAGTGTGGGCATGTTTGATGTTGTAAGAAATGATTTGAGACAATGGGTGACATTGAACTGAGCAGAATGGTGGAACAAGATTCATGAAACCAACCCTATATAGTTGGGGAAAGGCTTTGCTGAGTTGAATTGACAAGAATGGAGGATATTTTCTGGTTCTGCCAACAGTATATAAGCAAGAATGGAGGATATTTCTCAAGAGATGTATAAATCCATATTGTATACCAGTGATTTAAAAGGCGCGCCTGAGGCACACAGGCGAGGCGCATTTATTGCAATAAAATATCTTCTTAAAAGGCAATGGAAGTTGTAAAATCATTATTTTCTATGTGAGAAATAAGAATTTCAGACCCTAACATAGATTTGTTCGGGCTTGCCTCGAGGAGCGTGCTACAAAGGTGACACAGAATCAAGAATGCAATATGTTTTACATCACATTAACTACTTGAAGAAATGCAATTAAGGAAAAAAAAAGAGATTATAGGTTTTACATGCTTGAAAATGCTTTATATGTTTGCTTTTATTTTTGAATGTTCATTTGAATACACTTTACATGTTATGTTTATGTATTTTAATTTTAGATAATAGGTTTTTTAAATAATTTATTTTAAAATTTAAGTTTATATTTTTACTAACATTTTGTTTAATATTTTTTTAATTTTTTGCATTTAAAAAAAAAATTGGCACTTTTTTTGGAATTTTCTGACCTTTTTTATTTTTTAGCTTTTTTTTTGTAATTTTGTACCTTTCTTAAAAAGGCGCATGCCTTACCACCTTGCACCTCAGGCGCAAATTGGCCCTTGTGCTTTTTTTGCGCCTTGCACTTTTAAAACACTGTTGTATACAATATAGAATACTTTAGATGCATGTTTCAATAAGTGCATATGCACGTGGTTGTCCATATATAATAAAGCTGTTCATAAAAAAGAGAACCACATATGCAAATTCTAAAACAAGAGGTATACTTGATCCAATATGTTCTTAAATCTCTAATCACCACCCAGTTGTCATTGGACTTCAACACACCTATAGATTGCTAAAGAACAACAAAACGGGGATTTGAACTAGTTTGATTCTGGCCTAGCATGTATTCCTCATATATAACATAGCTGGATTTAATAGGGTTTGGATACGAGGACATCCTAGACAAGGCATTTCTTTTCCCTAAAGAACTCTTACCACACAAGATATACAAACCTGAACAACACCATCATAATCAGTTGAAGCCAAGTAATTCTTGATATAGTTGTTCCAGCTAACACAACTGAGCTTAGATTTGTTTGACATCTCAATCACTGGGTAATGGATGTCAACAGAGTCACTCAAGAGGGCACTGAATTCAAATATCTTAATTTTCTTTGCAACCCCCGCAGCAGCAAAGTAATCCTCATCCCGATCAAAACTCAAAGAGCAAATCACATTTGCAGAATTAAGAAGATCACCATTTCTTAATGTTCCACGTACTTCAAACTTACTATAGCGAGCATATTTGCATAAACCATCAAAAAAGGTTCCAACACGATCAGTAGGCACCTGGTTCAGTTCATCATTACCATTTTGTTCTGAAAACCATCTATCTCGGTTCTTTAGTAGATCTTTATCAGAGCGTGCAGAGGCATCTGCTTCTGGAGACTGAATTTGGGATCTCATAGCGAAGTAAGCACTTTCAAGCTGGTCAATATTCTTCATCAACCTTGCCTCATTCCTATTTGATACAGGAGGTACTCTGCTATGTGTTTCTGAGCCTTCTTTAAGAAGGAATCCAAATTCCCTCGAACTAGAGAAACTTTTATGCATCTGAAAAGGAATATCAGTTGTTCTTAATAAGTTCCTTTTCTCAACCTCTTCAATATCCGCCTCTAAGCATCCGATATCTTCAAATAACTTGGAGGTCTGCTTCTGCTTTTCTTCCTTCAAAGATAAGAGAAAATGTAGTAACAATTCTGACTCAGCATAATCTTCATCAGTAGTTAATGACACTTCACTTCCAGATGATAAATCTTGAGATTCACAAATCATATCAGATTGTAGAATTTCCCTGTCACATATAGAACAAAATAGAGAGTTAGTACATCTTCCTTAGAATAATTGATCTTGCAATTCAAAATTTTTTACAGCTAGGAAGGTCTCTCATATCACAATTCAGACACTAAAATGATTAAAGCAAACAACTTTTACCTTCCCCTCTTTCCCCCTTTCTTTACAGTGTAGAAGAATGTAATGGATCATATATGTGTGTTCATTAGATTCGCTCTTTTCCTTCAACCTAGAAGTTCTTCTAATTGACCTACCAAATAACAGGTCTTAGATCTTTCTATGCCATGTTCCTTAATCCCTCAATCACAGTTCCATTTTCGTTGATGAACTTTGGGTTATATTTTTTACTTGTCAAAGAACAATATGAAGAGATGAAACATTCTTGTAAAAGAGCAGGAAAAAAAATACTTGTAGCCTTTGGGAGGGCTCTCTCCTCAAAAGTTGTATTTAACTATTCTGGAGAGATCGCATCTCGTGCCTCTCCTTGGGATGCTTGTACTCCTTATCTTTGGTGATTAATAAAATTCATTCAAATCAATTATCAAAAAAAAAAAAGGAAATGCTCTACTAAAAGAAGAAAAACATAGTGCCTATCCTTCATGTGTGCATCCTCTATTTTAATAGTGGAAGAGTATAAATTGTATTCTCTTGCCATTTTGCATCTCAGGAATTGAACTATTTTGTCTCTCTTTGAGGTATCTTAAATGCTACCATCAAATGCTTGTGAGCTGTATTCTTCACAGAGTTTCTTTGTCATGCATGGAGGCAGCAAATGATATGGCATTGTACTAGAGTTGCAATTTTGTTGATCCTAGGGGTAAAAGGAAAGCATGAAGTTTTGAAGGAAAAAAAAGGAAATAATGTAGACTACAGAACTAAAGGCAGCTGTATATTTTGGGGTCCAAAAGGCATGGGAGATAGGGATCAGGAAGTTGTTGGTTGAAGGAGACTCAAAGGTGATCATTAGCTGGCTGAAATATAACGATAAAGTTCCATGGTATTTCAGAAATGAAGTTAAGAAATTTAAAAGATTTTCAAAAGATATGCAGGTGAATGTGCAATGGGTACCTAGATCAGTAATCAACTTAGCTGATTATTTTGCTTAGGGGTCAATATAAGGAATTGTTTTTGGGCTCATCTCTAACTATAAGAATATGGTATTGCTATTGTCCTAAGAGTTTGGGGTAGCCAAGGCTACTCATATTATTGTAATTTTTTTCCTGAATTAATATAAGATTTTTTCTGTTGCTGATAAAAAAATAATGTACACTACATGATAGATTTTATCATGATGGGAGTCATCCATTAGGTGTTGACTAATCAAGACTTTAAGAGAATGACCAGGGATGATTTAATGCAAAACCAGGAAGCAATTGTGTGGAATACTCTCTTAGAAGAAAGCAAAGATTTACAGGATGAATGGATCTGGAACAAGTTAGAAGTAAGGTTTTGATGGAAGCAATTAAGGCAACTCAGTTGCTTCAGGCATTAGAGGAGTGGCTAGAGATGAGTGATGACCGTGCAACCATTCTACTTAATTTTCTAGGGCCAGTTGGAGATGGAAATTCTTTGGAAGCAAAACTTTTGGCTTTTTACAAGGGTTAAAATTAGCTTCAAGAGCTGGCTGAACAGAATTACAAGTAGAAGGGGACTGCAAAGTGATGTCGTGATGATAAATTGGATCGTATCCGGGCAAGATGTGCCATATGTACTAAAGTTTCTTGCTAACAAATGAGAGCTTTAACCTTGTGTAGGGCATTCTGGGATAAAGAGGATAACAAGTTACCGTTTCCAATCAAAAAAAACAAAAACAAAAAAAAGTGCCATATGTAGTAAAGTTTCTTGCTAACAAATGAGAGCTTTAACCTTGTGTAGGGCATTCTGGGATAAAGAAGATAACTGTAACAAAAACATTGTGAGGAAATCAGTGTGGTTGGCAATATTTTGTTCTCTAAGGATCCTCGTACTCATTTCAGTAACTTCATTTTTTATTGGTAACCATTAAAATTGTATTAATTATGGAGTAAAAAAAATAAGCTGATCATGCCAACCATTCCTCAACTTTAGACTATGTTAGAGAATAAAAACCTATTAGAGCCTGTTTGATCAAGTGGTCTAATGTTCCATCCTCATTGCCCCCATTATAATTAATTAAATTCCAGCACAAGGTATGGGAGGGCCTTGCTTGTGCACAATTCAAGCCCAATAGGCTTTCAGGTAAGGCCATAAGGGGCACGTTAGAGAATAAAAACCTATTCAGGGACCTCACCTAATAGCCTAAGCTTAGGTTGAACAATTTCTTGAGAGACTAGTTTCAGCTACCTAACCCCTTGTGGCCTTCACTTACTCATTATGTTCATTTTTCAGACAATTGACCCCAAAACATATGAACCTTGTTTACCCCTTGTTTGGCCATTGCATTGGATACACTGTTTGTTGATCATTTAACTTGGGAGAAAGTGACTCCCAGTTCCCTCACTAAATATCTCATCTCCCTCATAAATCATTGTGTCAGTGTTCCAACTGCCCCTGCCTATTTACGTTTAACCAACCCACTACCACCCTAGAATCCCATTCCACTAATATGTTTCCATAATTTAGTTATCTGTGCATCCTCAGTCCCTGTAATGCCTCAAGTAATTAAGCTCTTGAAGTCTCCCTAGACTATTGGTCTGGCCTCTAGAGTACATGGTTAAGATAATCCCATAACAATCTATGACCAATGTTTTAAAAGTGCAAGGGCGCAAGGGCCAATTTGCGCTCGAGGTGCCTTTTTGAAGCAAGGCGCAAAAATACAAAAAAAAATGCTAAAAAAATCAAAAAAGAAGTCAGAAAATTCAAAAAAAAACCAAAGAATTCAAAAAAAGCAAAAATATCAAAAATATTAAACATAATATTAATAAGAAATTTAAACTTAATTTTTAAAATTAATGGTTTTAAAAAACCTATTATCTAAAAGTAAAATACATAAACATAACATGTAAAGCATATTCAAATGAAAATTAAAAACGAAATTAAACATATAAAACATTTTCAAGCATGTAAAGCCCACAATCTCTTTTTTTTTCTTTAATTGCATTACTTCAAGTAGCTAATGTGATGTAAAACATGTTACATTCCTAATTCTATGAGTCGCCTTTGTGCCATACCCCTCGAGGCAAGCCCAAATAAGTCCATGTTAGGGTCCTAAATTCTTAGTTCTCACACAAAAAATAATGATTTTATAATTTTAATTGCTTTTTAAGAAGATATTTTAGTAGGATGAATGAATGAACAATATTACCAAATAGGGGTTCTTGAAGCTTCGGTGAGCGAGCAAACCGGTCTAGGGGCGGAGCCCCCGGCCTAGCCATTAGGGTGAAAAAAAAGCAAAAAGTGCATGCCTAGGCGCACCAGGCGTGTGCCTTTTGAAAGGGCTGCGCCTAGGACCTGGGCAAAGTGCCTACCCTAAAATGTGCCTCACTTATGCGCCTAGGCGAGCCTGAGGCATGGCTTTTAAATCACTGTCTATGACTCCCCTCTTATGCCTCAAAATCCAGGTTTACCCAGGCTGTTTCACCCATCAAATTTTAATTTGATTTGGTTGGCAACCAGAAAAAAAAGAGTAGCATGGGAAAGGTGATTTCATTATTTTTTTTTCTTCTGGTCAAATCAAAGAAAGAGGTTAATCCTTTTGTCTAAAAAAGTTGAGGTACATGCTTTGCACGAGACTGTCAGCATAAACAGAAAATTAACTAGGAAATTTCACATTGATAAAAGATCCCCACCTACCTCAGAACTGCTTACTTGGAACATCTAAAAAGGAAGCAAAAAACAAGGTCATTCAACCCTAAAAACATCAAATTAACATAGAAGTAACTTCTGGGATCAAACTCTCATATTATACACCTGTAAGTCAGATGCAGAAGTTAGACACTCACTCAGTGTTTTAAAAGCAAAAGACGCAAAAAAGGTGCAAGGCGAGGTGCACAATTTAAAAAAAAAAGGCTAAAAATTAAAAAAAAAAGTCAAAAAAATCCAAAAAATGCAAAAAAATGCAAAAAATTATAAAACATAATATTAATAAAAATATAAACTTAAATTTTAAAATAAATGTTTTAAAAAACCTATTATCTAAAATTAAAATACATAAACATAATATGTAAAGCATATTCAAATGAGAATTTAAAAATGAAATCAAACATATAAAACATTTTCAAGCATATAAAACCCACAATCTCTTTTTTTCTCAATTACATCAAGTAGCTAATGTGACATATTACATGCACACGCCTGGGCTAAGGCGCAAGGCACACTAGGCGTGTGCCTTTTGAATGGGCTGCGCCTAAGACCTGGGCGAGGCGCCTACCCTAAAATGCGCCTCGCCTGTGCACCTAGGCACGCCTTTTAAATCACTACACTCACTGGTGTTTCTATTGACTCAGGATCTGCATATACCCTTCCCCTGCTTTTCTTGGAGGTTACCCAATAAAAACCTAACAACTGTCCTAACCTTGTCCGACATTCCTCCAGCATATGGCCATTCTCACATGCAATATTCTTTTTTTTTTTTATGATATCTGTTTGAAGGGCTACACAACAGCAGGTGGGGGCGGGATTCGATCCCAAGTCTCCGCTACGACCAGCAAGAGACCTTACCAGTTGGCACCTTGCATTATCACATGCAATATTCTCATTTTTCCTGATATTGACTTCCCTGTCATAACCAATTGCCATCACACAAACCACCCATGTCATCAACACCAATGTCAAATTGCCAGCACCTTCTTTTCAAATGTCAGCATCAAAGAATCTTTAATGAAAAAAGCAAATCAAAGGAGGAAGTGATTGAAGCTATAAAAATCAGTTCTGCAAATTGGTTTAAAACCATGGAACTCTTCAGGAATGTCCCTATAAATGGCATTCTAAGAAACTGGACTGAAGTGGTACAAACAGATTTACATAGAGAAAGTGTGAGAATGGATTGGAAACCACCTGCACCAAATAAACTAAAATGATGGGCGTTCTTTGGGTAATCCAGGAAGAGCACGTATGGGGGAGTGTTTGGAAATCATCAAGGAGAAGTTGTGGCACTATTCTCAGGACCAAGCATTGGTGACTCAATTCAGGCTGAAACTTTGGCTCTCCTACAAGGCTTGAAACTGGCTGAAAAGATTGGAGCAACAGAACTGGAAATTGAAGGAGATTCACTCCTGCCATATCTTGGGCAAAGCAAATCAGCTCAGCACCTTGGAAGTTCAGATTTGTCTTCAGAGAAATTGACCCACTTGCAAGGTTTAATTCTAGTTTTGGATGGGTAAAAAGGAAAGCAAATGGATTGGTGGATGTCCTAGCCAAACAAGGAGCAACAGACCGACTTTATTCCAGACTAATTTATAATCTGTTGTAAGCAGGGTCACTACATTAACGAAACCATAGTTGTCAAGGCGTCGCCTAGGCGACAAAAATAACAAGGCGGGCGCCTTTTATAATATCATTTATATTGCTGTATCTTATTAATTTATGTGTTAATACAATTTATTATATGCTATATATATCAATTATACTTTGTTTTAATGTTTTACTATTGAAATTTAAAAGATCAAAGGGTTTTGAGAAGAGAAAAAGAAAGAAAGAAAGAAAGAAAAGAAAGAGGAAAGAAAGAATAGAATAATAAAATTATTTTTTCTATTCTCTCTCTCTCTCTAATTAAATAAAACAGAAACTCCATCATTGTTTTTTTTTCTATTTTACTTTCCATCTTGAATATTTATCATATAAAGTTGATAACCATCTTTAGCTGCTAATTAATATAAAATTTCTCTATTAAATACTTATTATAGTAGTATTATTTTTGAAAATAATGAAATTAATATATGCAAAAGATTTGTATCTTTTAGATGTGATGATTCGCCACATTTTTAGAGGAAATTTAATGTTCTTAATAAAGAGAAATGCTATTTTTTCAATTAACATACATGCTGAATGGTATATAAAACTAGGAAACTAGCCAAAAGTCAGATTTTTATATTATAAAATTTTTATCGCCTAGGCAACTAGGTGACTAGGCGCCCCAGTGTCGCCCAGAATCGCCTAAACGCCTTGAAAACTATGGCTGAAACTTTAAAACTCATGTACTTTAATCAGTAATTAATGAATTAATAAATGTTTTATTTTCTGATAAAAAATAAATGCAAGAGATTGAGCTTCATCACCTAAATGCTCTTTGAACTCATAAGTTGCAGATTCAGGCAAGTAAATGCAGTCTATTATTGCACACTTTTTAGTTGCCATGTTATCTGAAGTCTGGGTAGATGATAGAATAGCATTTCTGATGACATAAAGACTGGTCTCATTGTAATGGTCGTAGCATGGAAGGACTAACTCCTTCTTTAGTCCATTCTTGAAGGATGACATCTAATTTCCACCCCAAACTACATTCCATGCCATGGCCTTTTTTTTAACATGTAGTTTGGGGTGGAAATTGGATGTTGTCCTTCACTTTTAATAATGGACTAAAGGAGTTCCAGATCTGTGGTTACCTTTAAAACATCAAAAAACCTCAGAGGGAGAAGAAGCTTTTAATGGGGATTGTATCAGCCATAGCAACCTCCTTTCAGAAAATCAAAGTCTCCTTTTAATGGGGATCATAGTTTTCCTCTTCTTCTTGATTTCCAGCAGCACCCACAGGTTTTTTCTTCTTGTCATCTTCTTCTATGCTTTTTTTAGAAAAGGTAACGGACGTTTCATTACAATAAAGAAGAGAAAATGAGAAAATGTACATAAAGGGAAGAGAGAGAGAGAGAGACAGACAGACAGACACAGATTACAAAGGAAGAATGCTATCACTATACAAAAATTCCCTGTGGATCCCAGATTTAGTTAAACCATCAGCAACTACATTCAGCTCCTAGGAACCCAAACCATACTTGCAATCATGTTATTTATAATGTCTCTTGTTTCAGAAATGTAATGCACCAATCTCCAAGTACCTTCAGCTCTTCCTTCTATCCACCTAATTGTGTTTGTTGAATCACCTTCAATTGTTAAGTTTGTGATTCCCAAATCTATAGCAGTCCTGATTCCAGTGAGACCCGCTAAGACTTCAGTCTTTTGTGTCAGTTTTCAGCACCAACAAAGTTTTGGGAGAGATGAAAAGATGACCAATATGAAGAAGGAATGTCAGACGAGGTTGGGAGACTTGTTAGGTTTTGATTGGTAACCTGCAAGAGAAGTAGTTGTAGTGGTAGGGAAACAGAAGATCTGAACAAAACCTAAATCTCTTACTCCATCTGTTATTTGCTAGAAGTTTCTGATTACCTAGTTTTAATGTGGTTCCCGCTATTAAGAGACCATCATACATTCTTTTGTTAAAGTAACCTCTTTTTTTTTTCTTTTTTGCTTCATTAGGGCTACATGATGGGGGTAGTCCATCCTCTAGGCCCATACCCCCCCCCAACGGCCCAACCCTAGTGGCTACGAAATTGACCCCAAATCTCCACTACAACTAACCAGAGAACTTCAAACATATATTCACAAAATATTTGGTTAATAGTAACTCCAACATTATTAAACAGTAATGTCTTGACATGCCAGGCACTTTTACAACACTGTTCTAGACTCTACATAGATCACAGTAGTTGCAGAAGAACATAGTAACATAAAGGCAACACACGATACCTTGTTGTTGGCCGGGATGAAGGTTCAGGATGAAGAAGCCAAAGACAGAATCCAGCCTCCTTGGGATATTCTGACAGGAAGATTGGAGGAAGAATCCGGTGGCGAAGATCCAACATTGCTTTTGCATGCACTTCCCGTGATTCAAAATAGCTAAATAACTGATTGTAATGGCCCAAAATTAGTTCCAAAGTTCATACTTTCTACTCAAATTCTAGGAAGAAAAAATTTGATAAATTAGAAACTGACCCGGAGGCTGAACAATTTTTCCCTCCAGGTCGCGGGTCACTGGTTCAGCCGGTGACACATGTACATGTATATGTGTGTGTACAGCATACATAATTATATAAAATATACATAATAATATTAATTATATGCATATATTTAAAATATATAATTATATTCTGCATACAACATATACACTTTTTATTTTAGTTTTAATTTTTATCCTAAAAATTAAGATTTGAGGCCAAAAAAGGCATTTTTGGAAAAAAAATAGTGGGGCAAGGCACCTTCAAATGCATATCGCAAAAGGTTACCCAAAATAAAAACAAAAAAATACCCAAAATGGACAAGTGAATGCAAAGTTATGGCCTCCAGAAGTTAAAAAAAAAAAAATTGAATAAAAACCATCGATTTTATGAAATCAAGATCAGTTCACTGATTCCCTACTTAGAACAGATGGCTGGCCAGTTATGACCGGTTTTTAGAGCCTAACCAAACTGGCTGATGAACTAGTTCACGGTTTTACTGGTCAGATCAGTTGGTCTGGTCCAGTTCTCTAAGCATGGGAAAAAGATAATTTCTACCAAAAAAGCAGAAAAGATCATTAAGTTACAAACTAAAACTGACACCAAAAGTCTATTGAACACGACAGTAAACCTTATCAGTTTTCTTCTGAAAGGGATAACAAACAGGACAGAAGGGTGGAAAGAGCTCACATTGACTGTTATGGAGATCAAAGATATCCCACGACAGCAAATCTTATTGGTTTTCTTCTGACAGGAATGCTTAATACAGGACAAAAAGGAATGAGAAAGTTCAGGTTGCCTCTTGCCTGTCCTTCAGGGACACTCAAATGGCACAAATGTATAAAGAGATTTGCATAAACATATGTAGTAAAGATTTATTTTCCAGGTTTGTTTTAAAAGCAAGAGCCACGACAAAACAACAAGGGATGCATAGATACTGAGACGCAAGGCAAGGCATGTGCACCTGAATGAAGTGAAACACCACTTTTGAGAAAGAAACTCAAAAGATAATATACAGGTATACACAAGTCTAAATTCTGAAAGAGTAAATATTTTAAAAAGCCAAATATGGCAAATAAGGAAGCACAATGATCCAAAAAAAAAGGAAGCACACCCTAAAAAATGAGTGTTGCCTATGAGCCTAGGCACATCTTTTAAAACATGGTTCTGAGTACAGCTATGAATACACAAATTTCAATTTTCTTCTTCTTTTTCCTAAATTTGGCTAAGTAACGCATAGTTTCATCACAATTTTTATGAGTTTATTTTTGTATAATAATATATTAGTTTGCATGACACCAACATAAATTACATGCAATGAAAACCAATAAGTAGAAAATTAACAGCAGAGAAAGGTAATGAGAAATAAACTTCACATGAGACATAAATGCACAGTGAGGTTTGAGAAGACCATATTCACACCTCAAATAGAAGAACTCCAAGGCTGTAGATGTTGGAAGAGAACGTGCACCCCCTGTTACTCTGCTCCTCTGGACTAGTATACCACTTCTCTTCCAACTGAACATTTACAGAAAGTAGCTGCTGTCTAGTTGTAATTGATACACTTGGGCTTCCAGGCATGTTTAGAGTCTTCTGGTCTGTATTTGGGTTATGCCATCGAATGAAATCATACCCAGATTCCTGCATGCATATATTATTCACATCAAGCCCATTTACTGCTTCATGCTTGGAGCCAGATCTAATCGGGAGCCGGTGATGTTGCTGAGCAAATGCCATGTTCTCATCCAACCTTTGATGCTTTATATTTAAACCATTGTATGCATGTAAATCCTGATCCAAGGATCTCTTCCTACAGGAAGGATGTTCTGGATAGGGAATATCTTGATCCTTAACACTCTCTAATGGTTCTTTCTGAACCAGCGAACCAACATACTTGATCCGATTTGGAGACAATAATTTGAAACAAGATGGCCGTATATCTTGCAAGGCAATTCCTTGGGAGTGCAAGTGATCCACCAGCTCCAAAATTTGCCTAAATATATAGAGACTCTCAACTTTATTTATTTTACAGGACCCAGGTTTCAGCCACTCTCTTAAACTTGTTTCATCATGAAACGAATCAAGGCCAGCCCCAGCAGCAATACGTGGGGGTGGATCTCTGGTTTTTGCACTTGAATGATGTGATGGATCAGAAGCTACCCTAGTAACGTAAGCAGCCTTCTCATTAAATTGGCCCATGGCAGCAACACCATCACGAGTTTCTGGACAATTAAATACAACTCCCTTTCCCTTTAAGGTATTCTTGACAAAATATTGAGAAAAGCCAGATGCAGATAGAACCTTTGTCCGAATGCCTCCTGGAAGTAGTCCATCATTCAAGACAGCATTGTCATTACCATTTTGTTTAGAGATCTCATTGCCTTCCTGATTGGATTGCTTATAGGGCAGGTGCTTCTGAGACCAAAATTCTGGGAGAAACATACTACCAAAATCCTCTTCTCCACTTGACATGACTGGTTCCTTGTCTTTGGACACCGTATGTCCATGTGAACTCTCACTTCCCAACCCACCTGCTAACTGATACAGGATTTGCCACTTGCCCTGCCTAACCACTGTTCCTTCCCGATTGTTTGAGCTATCATGTACAGATAAATTTGGGTTCTTGTAATTATTCAATGTTAATTCTTCAACCATTACTCCAGCATCATTAATAGAATGAGGGCTAGCACACATAGGTTCTGATCCAGCTAAAGAGCTTACACATCTGTTTAAGCTCCGACTATGTAAAGCATCTGTAAATCCTTGGGGTGAGCTCTCGGCCCAACCACTCCCCAGAGATATAAACATGGTGGATGGATCCAACATATTGTGGTTGCTTGGTTTCAGAGCATGATCGTTTTCTTTCCTTCTGAGGTGTACACCTTCCACGGCATCATTTGCAGTCACTTCTTCACCTGTTCCTTCCATCCCATACAAAGAGACTTCATTCAATTGCATGTACTATGTTCTCTGCAAAACGGAGAGGTTTAGTCAGAAATTAAAAGAACCATGGACAGGGAAACGTGGGAATAATTGCATCATCTGAAAAGAGAATAAGCAAAAAGGTTAGAAATGGATAACCGTCTGAACGCCACTTCCTCAAAAACTATCTTCAACAAATCAATTAAAATAAATAAATAAGAAAAAATTAATCCTAGACAAAAAAAAGAAGAAAAAAACAACCACACATACAACTTGAAATAAACCCAAATCTTAAAGCAATGTCCAATAAACATAAGAAAATTTTGATTATAATACAATATAAAAGGAAAAGTGCAAGCCCTAAAACTCTCTTCAATAGATGAAATACAAAGCAAGAAAAACGATGATCAATTTTTTTTTATAGTCAAAATTAGTAATAAAAAGAATGACATAAACTAAGTTTCGAGACGCAGAGAAAGGAACATACAAGCTGCAGATCATAACTTGAATTATCAATGAAAAATTGAGTTTTAAGAAAGCCTAATCGTAGCAATTCAAACCTGATTTGAACAAATGATTACTGCTAATCCGTGAACTCAACCCTAAAAAAAAAGAATAGACGAGAACAAAAAAATCCATAAAATAACGCCAAAAACATTCAAACCGAAAACCACGTTAAAGCAAATCTACAACAGCACGAAGGCTCAATTCCCAGCAGAGAGAACCCAAAAGAGCTAGAAAAAAAATAGAACAAATAAAAACCCTAGAAATCCTAAACATGTAAGTAAGGAAAGGGCGAAGAGGCACAAAACTTGCCTGAAATGGAAAATATCTCCTCTTCTCTGTCATTAAGCAAGCTTTCCAGAATCAGAAGCAAAAGCAGAGCGGAGGAAGAATCGAATAAAATAGGACGTCCTATCAGGTCTAGGATTTTAAAAGAAGAAAAACAGAAACTAAGATGACTGGATTTTCTTTTTTCTTTGAAAGGATTTTCTTAAATTTTGCAGATAGAACAATTGCGCCATTTTTTTATTTACATCTACGAAATCCATATATATCATTCACTTCATTTATATTTTATTTTTCTTTTCCTTTTTTTTTTATTTTTACTGCCTTGATTTACTCAGGACCTCAGGCTCTCAGCCAAGCATCCCTCCGCCCACGAGATCATTGAAACCCTGAAGCCTAAAGTTCGGTAAAGAGGAAATTAAAAAAAAACAGATATTTTTATTAAAATTAAATTAAATTTTCCTAATAGCAGCTTTCTATCAAAATTACTGAGTGGGGCGGGAATTAGGAAAGATATACTAATCCAACGGATAATGTACAGGGAGTACGCTCTCATCTCATCACATCCCAGAGTGGAGTCCGGGTGGTGTCGCCACGTAGTCCCCTCGCAATCCAACAGCCACAAATTGAACGTGAAAAAAAAAAATCGACCCATTCGACCGGTTGACGACATCACTCCCTCTCCCTCCCTCCATGATTAGCCGTAGCCGTTGTTGTTCGAGAAATTTGTGTGCTAATCGAAGGTTCCGACCACTCAATGACCCGCCAGTCAAAAGAATGAAATCAAATGATCAAGTGGCCAAGAACCAAAAGATCAAATTCTAATCTGACTGAGGTCGTGGCATAGTGGGCACCTGGGGGAACGTGGGTGTGCGTGTGGACCATACGGTGGGTGGTCGCCACATGTCATCATTGGTTTGAACTTTGACGGATGAGCCCAGAGGGAGAGAGAGGGCACCTGACCGAGACGCTCTCCTCCCCAAAATTCCAAATAACGAAACCCAATCTCAATCTGCACGGTAAAGCTATACGGAGACGGAGAGCTTAACTCAAGGCAATTGCTACGGTAAAAGTGGGAATTGTATTATTTTCCGTACCACCCCCCTCTCTCTCTCTCTAAGTGGAGTGGAACCACGTCGTTGTTGGCGCCTGCAGCGATGCTGGTGATAGGAAGACAGGGATCGCGTGGCCGCATACGTTGCACGCCGGTGCAGGCTCCAGCGTGGCGATTCAAACACGTTACGAAGGATGTGGTCGTGATCATAGCGTGTCCCTTCACGGGGCCACAACCCCTCTCCTTTACAACATCTGGTGCTGGTTCCGCCACATCACCACTATCTTGACCCTACCTGCCCCGCTCTTCTTTTTTTTGAACGTAGGAAGATTGAGTTTTTCACCCTTCCATGTTCCATCATCCCTTTCCCTCTTCTCCCTCGTATTAAGAAAACTGAAATTTATGGGATGTTATGAGTCGGTTTAAGGGAGTTTAGATCATGAATGGTTACAATGGGTTGAAAATCCGTTCTAATAATTCCAACAGATTGGGTTAGAGGAGAATTTGGATTTTGTCCTTCTAAAGTCCAAATTCACTGTCCTCATAGCATTTATAGCCATGTATTGAGAATATTTCCCGTGAATGAAAAAAAATCATACAAGTATAAAGATGTTCCTAGCTAATGCATGGTTGCAAATGACCGGAGGACAGATTTTGTGAGATGAAATCTGTATTCCTTATGAGGACAGTTTGAAAGGAGTACGATGAGGGGTGATTTAGCCCGACCTATTAAATAGCAGACACATGGATGTGATCGGACTATGACTCAGTGTTTCCTGCCACTTCGGGTGTCTCAAGCACCTTGGCAAGGACCGAGGTCCGAGTAGCTCGGGGAGGTCCAACCTACCGAGATGACATGTAGCTCGACTTCTAGAAGCATGCCAGCTGTTTCTAAGCTCTTTGGAATCATGCCGCACGATTGTAGGCCTTATCCTCATCCAGCCTGGATCGGACGAACCCGATAAGCCTTATCGGCTAGCACGATATCCACCTCCCGGCGCTGAACAGACTCCTATCAGCGCAGGGCGAGGATCTCGAGGGTATTTCGTGAGACTCTGGCACCAGCCCTTGTGACCTAGGTATTCTCGATTTACTGCTTACTAGTTCTCATACTCTGAAGCTTTCAGCTCGCACACAATCAATTACTAACTTAAGCATCCAACCGACCACGCTGGATTAATCACCCCAGATTCCCTGATCCTTATGTCTTACAGTTTGACCAACCAACTAAGCAACTATCATCTGAATTACCATCCAATTGGGAGCAACCGGATCGCACACTATCAAAGTATAAATGCAAATTTATAGAGTGCAAAACCTTATGTTTTATATTATTTTGTATGTATTTACTATGTAGATATTTACATTTGGACTCTTTTCAATTCGAGCCTTAGACTGCTGTGTTCGAAAGTGGTGTAAATATTAGAAGCATCGTGGAGTATTGCACCGATTGGTTTAAAAAGGTGATATGAACCGGTGAGGATTATTAACATGTGGGTCATTCAACCTGCATACGTAGATCTCACCTTAGAACTTGCATCGCGTTATGGGCTATTTTTCGGCTTTCTCCCTTTTTCTTGTCTTTTAATGAAAGAAATGATGGGAACTCTATATACTTAAATGGTTGTGGTAAAATAAAGGACCAATAAAGAGATGGATTTTATATGTGGACCCCTCATCACACTTCTAACTCATTAACAAGTGTGTAAAGCTCAATTCTAGATAAACTATGCCTCTACTGTATCTGAACGACGAGAAGTTTTATGAAAACAAAACACGAGGATATAGTGCTCTATAGACCACCTTCACTAACACCATTCCAACAATCCATTACAGTCACACATTGAGAATATCTCTTTACCATTATTGCTCATGGAGAAATTTCATTATGTGCAGCTGTAATGCCCTGTTGGAAGACTTATTGGAAGCATTTAGTAGGCTAAGTTTGGAAGAAACATGATAAGGGGTGATTCGGCCTGAGCTAGTAAACAGTGGACACATGGATGCAACCTGATAGTGACTCAGTATTTCCGATCACCTCAGAAGGCCAGACCCACCTCGGGTGTCTCGGTCACCTCGGCCAGGACCAAGGTCTAAGTAGCTCAGGACGGCCAATCCTATTGAGGTGATACATAGCAAATTTCTAGAAGCATACCAGCTATCTCTGAGCTCTTCGGGATCATGTCGCATGATTGTAGGTCTTATCCTCATTCTGTTCGGATCGGACAAACACGATAAGCCTTATCGGCTAGCATGATATCCATCTCCCAGTGTGGAACAGACTCCTAACAGCGTGGGCCAAGGATCTTGGAGGTGTTTCGTGATACCCACGACAACTCACCTATATAAGGGCACCTACCTCAACGGTACAAGGTACATGCGATTTACTACTTACTAGCACTCTTGCACTTGAGATTACTAGCTCACACAACCAGATACTGACTTAAACATTAGAGCGACCATACTGGGTGAACTACTCTAGGTTCTCTGAGCTTTTCTATCTTATAGTTCTACCGACTAACTAAGCGCCTAACGTCCGAACTACTATCCAACTAGAAGCAACCAGATCGTACACCATTAGAGCATAAATATAAAATACAAGGTTTTGCACTCAACATATTTGTATTTATATTCCTTCCAAACTGAGCATTAATAACAAATCTGATTAGTGCTGACTGAAGTTGTTGATAAAGTCTTTGGCTGGTTGTAGAGAAACATGGGATCGAATTGTATCAGCAGGGTGGGGCGATTATGGGTTTAGGAGACTGGATACCCCATTTGTGTAGGTGTAGCCCATGAATAATAAAGCATGTTTGGCCGCACATGGCTGTGGGGGCCGGTTTAACATGTACTGTTGTATTATTAATAAACAAAGAAGGAAAGAAGAAAAGAGGATTAAGCCAACTAATGGTAGACGTCATTGTTTTTCTTCTTTTGGTGGAGGAAACATCCAAAGGAGCCATGGCTGTTCGTACAAATACTGGTCTACTGACAATGGTGGGTCACCCATCTGGCTGAAAAAGCATAGCGATTACCATACGTGAAGAGACTCCAAACACTGTTTCCCCACAGAGACGGCCGGCCCACTTCAATTTTTAGTCGTTCGAATTTCAGTGATGTAGGTTGTGAGGTCAAGAGCTCTGCCAGCCACGAATTATTGCAACTGCAACGATGGATGTAGGCCCGGTTTGGTCATTCAATCACACATTCTTTACAAAAACGTTGTAGTTTGTGGATTTTTTTTTTCTTTTTTTCTTTGTTTGGTCTCATAACAGTAAATAATGAAGCGAGTTTGTAGATTTGTGGATTGTATTGATGCCACGTAGAACCAAAATTTTATATTTTACTTGAGGCAGCATTTTGAGACAGTACTATTCCATGAGATGTTAGAATTCTTTGGTTTTTATAGGGTATGCAGAAACATTAAGTTGAGTATTTGGCTTCAATTTATTTCAGTCAAAATTTCAAAAAATAAAAGATAAACAATTTTGCTTATATCAGAATAGTTTTGAATAGTTTCTTACTTAAAGGCCCAGTTCCTTTGTCATTATTGGGGTGAGTTCGTCAACCAGTAAATTGACTATGATCTCTACGTTTATTAGCCGTTATATTTGGGTCTCAGTTCACGGGCTGGGCTTTTGGTCAGAAATTTTAGCAAAAAATCCAAGCTTTAGCTTGGCTCATCAAAAAATCCAAGCTTTAGCTTGACTCATCAACAGATCTATTCAATAGGGATGTAAATGGATTGGATTAGATTTGAACTAGGATATATTTAAATTTGATCCGATATTGTTTTTGTCGGATTCGATCCAATCGAATTTGATAAGATTTTATTTGAATTTAAATCTTATTCGTAAGTCAGATCTTCGGATCTGATCTGACTTGTTTTTTTTTTAATTAATAAATTATTAAAAGAAAAATAAAATATACTAATTTAAATAAAGTAAAAAACAAAAAATACAAGTATTTTTTAGTTATTTTCATCATATATATATATATGTTTTTTTATAAAAGATAAATAATATAACAAATTTATAAAAAATATATTTATAAATAAATAAATAAATAATATATATATATATATGTATTATATATATTTATAAATATATAATATATATCGGATTGGATCTTCTTGAATCGGATAGGGGTGATCCGAATCCGATCCATTTTCTGGTTGGATCCTATCATCCAACCCGATCTGAAGATCCAAATAGGAGTGATTTGAATTCGACCAAATAGGACCGGATCTTAAATCAGATCAGATCACGATCCGATCCATTTGCACCCCTAGGTCTCACGGTAATTAAAGATACTGGAAAGCATCAATTATACCCTCCAGCAA